TCCCCCCCCCGCCCCCCCCACCCCCCCCCCCCCCCACACACACACACACACACACACACACACACTGTATATGGGGCTTCTCGGTCAGGAGTGTGGTAGGACTCTCTATTTGACTTTAAACATTAATGGGTACACTCACAAGCATAGGAAGACTCCACTGGACTATCAAGGAATGCTGGAGTGAAATGTACTGCTCAGTGTCAGAAACATTGGGCTATTCTGAAGTGGCCTTCTATGAGCCCTGATCTGAATCCTATCAAACATCTATGGAAAGAGCTGAACCTTACAGTCTGAAGAAGGCTCCTTTTAAATCTGAGACAGCTGAAGCAGTTTACTCAAAAAGAATGGGCCAAGCTACCTGTTGGCAGGTGCCGAACATATTATCTTAAATCAAAACTCAAAAGCAGTCTGACTTTTATAAAATATGGAATAAACAATGATGGATGCCAAAATTACTTTGGTCAGTTTCAGGTTATTAGAGAAAATTATAGATCTTCGTAAAACAGTAACGACAATTGTGTCCATATCTGTAAATGGCTATTTAACACATATACTGTAATTGCAAATGAATGGAAACCACGTGACATTACAAACATTGCAAGTTTTGCAAAATAGAGCCCAAATGACATTATACAAATAGCATCTGGTAATACAAATCCTGACCTTGATTAATTCACACCTTGCGGGTAGTAAAAAGGCACTGGGGATGCTTTGTTTAAACTGGAGATCATCTTTAAATCAGTTTTCTTTGTAAAGTTCTCTTAAATGGTCTCAAAACAACAAAACGCAAATATATAATGAAGTTGTTTAACAGTGCTGCCAAGTCTTCTTTCCGCTTATGTTTGGGGTGTGTAATAACTATGCAGTTAAGTGTGTATATAGGATTTTTACATATACAGTAATAAAATATTAGCTACAAAATGCAACACATGTACTCATACCATTTTTTTTATAGAAAAAGATGGCTAACAAACTTGTTTCACTTAAAGGTGCTACATTATGGCTTTAAGAGGCTGTGAAAAGAGCCTTTCTCAGGGTTTTAAACCTGTCTAATTCAAATAGAACCAAATACACTTAAATGCATTTAATCCTCTTGAAAATGTATGCATAGAAAAGGAGTCTAGCCTGAAGGTTGGCCTGTCAATGGCAATTTGTTCACTGCAGTCTGGATTAGAGATTTCTGAAAGCAATATAATTTATCCTAATGACAGTTTAGGTCAGATAATGTTACCTCAAATGCCTGAAAGGTTAATCCAACATTGTAGTTTTCAGCTACTGTTATTTTCCATATACATTCCTTGGATGGCCTATAGTCATCTGGATAATTGGGGGACTGAATCTGGCCAGAATCTTTGTGAATTTCTCCTCCGCAAATAGCTAACAAAAATGAAAAATCAGAAAAATTATAAGTTCAAGGCAGTTGTACAATTATTTGGAATAGAGGAAAAATAGTTTGTTTTATTTGAATATTATTTCAGATTGCGAAAGTAAATATTTAATTTCTAATTTTGTTAAAGTGATACTAAACCCAGGAGTTAAATCTTAAAAATGCTTTTAAGTACCTTATCTATTAACAAAAATGTATCTTATTTATATCTCAGTTCTTTTATCTCAGAATTTGTGCTGACACTGTCCTTTCTTCTGGAGGGGGGCTACTTTTGTTTCCCATGGTCCCTGTGGGTGTTGTAAAGTAGCCACCACTCCAAGCTCGCTCCTGTGATGCACTACAATCTCACGTTTAGTTCACTAATTTGTATCCAGATTGTAGTCCATCCAAGGAGTGAGCTTGGACTGGTGGCTACTGTACAAAACACACAGGGACCATAGGGAACAAAAGTAACCACCCTACAGAAGGAAGGACAGTGTCAGCACCAATTCAGAGATGATTGGGAGGATCTACAGCTGAATGATACACAAATAAAATACATTTTTGTTAATAGGTTACTTAAAGTATTTTTAATGTTTAGTCTAGTCACTTTAAGGAAAGTGTGATCATTTAGACAAAATATGGACAGGTGCTAAGAAAAATGCCCTGGTGGTGCAGAGGTACAGCATGGGCATGTTTTCATAGCTAACTCATGGGTTAACAAAGCATGCACATGTATGACTTTGCATGGGATCTGAGCTAGTAAAGTGTTTGTTTAGCCTAAACTTTACAGGGCTAGTAACAAAAGGGTGAAGAGTTTGGAGTAGGCGGGAGAAGCGAACAATCTAGGCCAAAATAGCTGATTTTAAAATATTCTCCAATTAAGCTCACTTTCCAGTTCAGCTCTGTTGGCCTAGATCTTTCACTTCTCCTGCCTTCTCCAAACTTATCACCTATTTGTAAATAGCCCCGTTAGTCTTGGGTAGAGTACAGAAATGATTTACCCTCACCCCTTGTTTTGGTCGCAACTCTTACATTTTGGATTTCACATCACTATCTGTGTTTTTGATAATGGCCACGAGGACAAACAGAGAAGAGAACAGAAGAGGGCAAACAGAGAAGGGGATATGTCTCCAGCATGGACACAGACAGCAATATACACAGGTAATAGGTGCTAAGTTTCCCCTACCCAAAACCGAACAGTTTTGGCTAGATGTACACTTTTACTAAATAATGATTATTTGCCAATGGCAAATATTCATTATACTGCCTAAGTCACCTTGTATACAATATCTTACCTTCATAAATTGCAGCAAACCCTTTTCCAACCCAGTTGCTGCTGCTTCGAAACTCTATCCACATTCTGCTGTCTGTTGTTGTCAGAACCTCTGGCAGTTTATCACCACAAAACCTACCTGAAATAATTAAGCAAATACTCGTATTTAGAAAAAGGAAGCATATTAAATGACCAAAGAATGCATGTTATTTCAAAACATACTGCCTTGGTGGTCAGCACTCATATTTGCAGCATTGATGTCCTGGGTTGGATTCCCACTAGACTAGATTTGCATGGGCTTCCCATACCCATTCAGAAAGAGGACGTTTGGTTTTGCTTAGACATTGGCATTTTTAATAGATGCATCACAAAGCTACAGAACCCAGGTCCAAAATTTGAACAAGGACTCCCCCCAGCATATCCTATACCTGAACCTTCAAGAGTACCACTCAGCATTTGAACGTATTATTTTTAAGATAATACATGTTATTTCTTTTTAAAATAAGCCTCAAAGGCCAATTAGAGAAACAGATAGACAATAAAGAAAAAATAGTGCTATATTTAGCTTAACACAGGGCTGGTAAGTAAAAGGGAAGCAGCAGTTATACCTGTAGCCACAACCAACCAGGTCAGTGGTTCCCGGTGGCCAGATATTGGTGCTGGTATATTTTCACATTGGAGAGGAAGCTTCTCCCATTGATGATGCCCAATAAGGTAAGTGAGCATTTGGAGGAATTAATCCTGTGTTCGAGGTAAAGTAAGTTTGGGGTATATGTTAGTAATAAGTGGGTCAATTTTCAGGGGCATATTTATAAAGCGGTAAAATTGACGCTTACCAAAACGTTCACAGGTGGATAAATCATTCTCTATCATTTTAAACACATGCACCAGGAAGATTCACCTGTAGTGACTATTTGGTAAATGTCACATTCACTGTTTTATCTATATGACCATGAGTGTCAGATCTTCAGACTTGTGACACTTGGGAGATGGCCCATAGAGCTCTATGGGAAGCAAAAGGCATGGCCAGCTTACAAGAAGACTGCTGGCAAGCATGCAAACACCAGAGGATGCAACCATAATTTCTCAGTAAGTATGCCTCTGGAGAACTGGAGGGTTAGTTACTTTAACTTTGTAAGTGCAGTTATTCTTTATGGCTTAAGCTTAAAGGTCAGGGTAACTGCTGTTGGGGGGAGGTTACATGTTAATTTCAGGGATTCGGATAAGATATAGAGTTTTGTAAAAGGTAGGGCATAGGAAAAGGTAGGTTATGGTATAAGTTTAAAAAAATGAGAATATGCAGGTTGGCACTGCTGACTTCACAAAAATGCTAGTTCCATTGCTGCCATGCTGATGTTCTGAATATAAGAGTAAGGGTTTCTGAGCATGAAAAAGTAACGGGAAGGGACAATGAATTCAGATTTTTCTCTTTTCTTTACTACTTGCTTTTCCCAGGTCAGAAAGTGTTAAAGTCACACACAGCCAAGCAACTAGCATCTTCACAGGGAGGCCAGCAATGAAAGCCTACATGTTTCTTTCATGGCAAGTTTACTTCAAGGTTCAAATCCAGGTACATGTTCAAAAACACTACCTTGTTTTCAGCACCAAAAATACTTGTGTCTGGAAATATTCGTATCAAAAAACCAATAACTGACTTTATATACTTCTGTTTTATTCAGAGACCACTGACACACTGAATATGCAACATCTGAATTAATATATAAAGACTATTTTAAGGCCAATAAAAAGTGCATATAAAAAGCAGTGTTCTCTCTATTATAATAAATATACAATTACCTACAGGCACCAATAAAAGTATATTACCAAGATGTGTAAACATTAGCTTTTTTCCCCTTTAATACACCCAGTTCACAGCCCTCTCCCTTCTATTGATTGTACAGTCATCAAAATGTAAAATGATCAATTCAAAGTGAACTGATTATATCAACAAATATTACATCTTGTATAAAACATATAGGCAACAAACAAATGCAATAAAACAAAGTTGTGAAATAAATGTTATATAGAAACTTAAACTTAAAAACAACTCTGGTCCAATTTATAAAGCAGGATATTGCTTCAGGGCCAGTTCACACCAATTACAGTGCGATAGCTGCTGGAACGCACTATAATTGCACACTAAACTCCCCCCTTCGTTCTGGGGCGGGGGTGGCCATGGTGGTGCATTGAAATCAATGGCACCGCAGCCATGCCCCCTGCCCACAGTGCGATCGGATGATCTTGAAAAACATTGCCTGTGTTCCGGTCCAGTGCAAACACAAAAAAATGCAGCATTTTTTTGCATTCGCACTGGACTGGAAAGCAGGCAATGTTTTCCTATGCGCCTGATCGCACTGTGGGCGGGGGGTGTGGCTGCGGTGCCATTGACTTCAATGCACTGCCATGCCTCCTCCTGCCGCAGAACGAAGGTGGGAGTTTAGTGTATGATTACAGTGCGTTCCAGCAGCTACCGCTCTGGAACGCACCGTAATTGGGGTGAACTGGCCCTTAAAACTAGGTCAAACAATAGGAATTCATAGGTCATACCTAGCAAGGGGGATTTTCTCCAGTAACCGTCCCTGACTTCAATATAGTCATACCAACAGAGACTGCTCTTATAGAGGTCCATGGTTGTAAAATTCAGAACAATCTGCAAAATAACAAGTTGTATTTTAGATTCTGTTTCACATAGGGAAATGTCTAAAACTACAAGTTACTAAATAGTTTCTTCCAAATGTTCTTATAAATAAACTGGCATTAAAAACCACTTGGGTCAGTGTGTTAGGACTTTCATTTATTTATTTTTTTCTATTTGGATACTAGCCTGTAGGGTGCCAATCGGGTATCATTAGGCCAGAGAAGGCATGTTTTTTGTTCTATATTTTGGAATTACTAACGTTTAAAAAAACAATTTAGCATATCTCAGTATATTTGTTTTAAATATATAACCCTGTCTGTACTGTGCTGGCAGATTTCATTACCAATTTTAAACTAGATGAACAGGAGTGTCTGTCCTAACAAAGGGTCAAAAACCTTTAGGTATTGTATGGTAATGCATATTAAGAAGAAAATGTCCCCCAGTCTTTCCCACTTTTGCACAGTGCCATCTATTCTAACCACTAGAAGCTGCCTGTAGTGTCCTATGTATAATTCTGCTCCAAACAAACATCTAGAAAGGTAATAAATATTACATTTAAAAGCATGAAAATTGGCCAGAGAATTACTTCTCTAACTCTGGCGTATGCAGTGTTACCGAATATGTCTTCAATGTCTTTGTACATAGGCGCACCTGACTCATGCTTGTATTAGTATGTGCATGTATGAGAGGAGACTTACAATAAATTTAAAAACATCCCCAAATTTTTTTAATGTAATTGTTTTTTTTGTTTTTTTACTTCGTTTCATTGCGATCATATAGGGGGCTTGTGAACTTTTTAACATCACTTTCTTCTGATTAAGCGGATAGCTGTATATTTTTTTTTTAAAACACACATATATGAGCATTGGTGTTTTTAACTGCCCTACTATGGACAAGCAATAGCCAATTTAGTTAAATGCCAGTTCATTCGTGGGTCTCTCTCTCTCTCTGCCAGTATTTTCCGATAACATGCTGCATTCATCTTGCCATCAATTTTCACAAGATTTTCGGTGCCTTTAGAGCTCACACCCCCCAAAAACATCAGTGAGCCACAACCATGATACACAGTGGGGATGGTATTTTTGTTGTTATATGCCTTGTTGACCCCTCTCCAAACATATCGCTTATGGTTGTGCTCATAAAGCTCTATTTTGGTCTCATCACTCCAAATTAAATTCTGCCAGAGATGCCATGAGGCATGTCAAGGTGTTGTCGGGCATTTTGTAGCATTGGTGCAGTAAAGACTTATTTTTGGCAACTCGACCATGCAGCTCATCTAAGTATTGTCTTATTGTGCTCCTTGAAACAACCACACTTTTTGGAATAATCAGTTCTTTTTCCAGAGCAGCCTGTATTTCTCCTGAGGGTACCTGTGGGTTTTTCATTGTATCCTGTACAATTCTTCTGGCAGTTGTGGCTGCAATCTTTCTTGGTCTACCTGACCCTGGCTTGGTATCAAGAGAACCCCGGGTTTTCCACTTCTTAATAAGTGATTAAACACTACTGCCTGGCATTTTCAAGTCTTTTGACAGTTCTTTTCTGCCCCTCCCCCATGGCTCGGTATCTAGCCTGCTCAGTGCATCCATGTGAGAGCTAACAAACTCATTGACTATTTATACAGACACTAATTGCAATATAAAAAGTTACAAATGTGGGAAATTAACTTTTAATTGCTATTTTAACCTGTGTGTGTCACCTTGTGTGTCTGTAACAAGGCCAAACATTCCAGGGTATGTAAACTTTTGATTAGGGCCATTTGGGTGATTTCTGTTATCATTAGGAGCCAAACAACTATGTGATAATAAAATGCTTCATATGATCATGCTCCTTAAATAAAATAAAATACAGTTTTTTGGCATGATCAGTCACATTTTCAATATCAGTGCAAAAATGTCACAATTTCTGCTTGGGTATGCAAAGTTTTGAGCACAATTGTATATACACACATATATCTGCAAGCATTAAGTTTAAGTAAACAGTATATGACATATTTTATTGAGATTGTTGACATTGCATCATTGCCCTTTTGTTGTCAGCATAACAAATTGCACTACATTACTTACACAATTACCTATTTACATACACGGGTTTACTGCCATACATTATAAGAAGATAGAAGAGGGGTGAGCAGCATGCATAATCTAGTTACATTTATTTGCATTATGTAGCAATAGTGACTGCTGAGCCTGACAGATCAGGAGAAAGCACTGCTACAAGCCTCCATTGTAAATAATTAGGCACTGTGTGTCAGATTAGTTAGCAGAGAATTGGTCTCGTAAGCAAATTCTGCCACTGCATTATAGCTACAATTAATGTAACTTGTCATGCATCTCATTGACCTTGACAGGGCAATGCAGTTTAAATTACCTAAAGCAAATATATGGTGTTTTTAAATATATTTATTTAATAAGAACTTATTGAGCTCGGGACTAATCTATATCTATGTAGATAAATATCTATCTATACACGCCTGCAGAGCACGCCGCCGCGACTTACAAGGGTTCAGAAACAGGTAAGGGGGACCTGTTTTAATGTTTCCTGTTTAAAAAAAAAAAAAAAGCGGCACACTGTAGAACACCAGCAGCTATAGAGGAACAACAGATCCCAGCAATAATATATTAAACACCCTGTATAATGTATTATTGCTGGGATTTGTAGTTCCTCTATAACTGGTCAGTGGTAATCTGCATTGCGCAGTATAATCATTATACAGCGCAATGGAGAATACCACCAGCTATAGAGGACTACAAATCCCAACAATAGTACATTATAGTATAATGCACTATTGCTGCATTACTCTATAGTTGCTGGTATTCTGCACTGCGACGCAGTATAATGTACTATATTGCACACCACACTTTTTTTTTTACTTCCACCGCGCCAAGCTTGCTCCTGTGATGGACTACAATCTCAATACAAACTAGTAGTCCATCACTGGAGCCTTTTTTTTTCTTTTTTATCCGATTAACCGATTAATCGAACTTAATAATAGGCCAACTAATCGATTATGAAAATAATCGTTAGCTGCAGCCCTAAAATAGATCAAAGTCTGAAGTCTGGATATATCGTTCTCTGCACATGAACGAGAGGCTATGCGGGTTGGCTTCCAGTTTAGGTGGAGGGAGCAAAGTATTAAATATCTTGAGGTACATGCTGTGTTATGAGAATTGGATGTTTTTTAATTAGATTATATGCAATTATTGGCAGAGACGCAACGTAGACTTAATAGCTGGGGTATGAAAATGCATTCGTGGATAGGAAAGATGGAGGTGTTTTAAAATGGATATTTTGCCAAGATGTATCTATTGATTTAAAACTATCCCGATCAGAATTCCAAGATCTTATTTCAGGACCTGGAAGCCAGCAATGATCAAATATGTGTGGAGGCGTGCCATGGCACAACTGAGGCATTATATATTAGTAATGCGTAGACAGGATGGTGGGGCAGGTCTTCCACACATGGAGTTGTATTATTGGCCAGCAGTGTTAACTCGTATGATGGATTGGTTTTCTTCTGCTAGAAATAAATTGTGGGTATCTATTGAACAAGCAGCTATTCCATTTGTGTTGACTTCAATTCCATGGATCTGCCCTCAGAAAAGGTTGATGCAGGGGCCTCTGACTCCGTTAGTTAGGACATTTATGAAAATCTGGGATACGACAGTAAACTTATATAACACATCATCTTATGTGGGTCCTTTTACCCCTATATTATGCAAACTTCCATCAGGGATCACCAGCTCACGATTTTTCAAATAGACTGCTACAGAGCCAGCACCTATTTAAGCAATTTCAGACCATGGTATTCATCCTTTAGCTTTATTGATTCCAGAAGGTAGCTCCTCAAGGGGTCAGTGGTTTGCGTACCTTCCGTTAAAACATTTTATCGCTTCCCTTTCGAGAGCCAAACCTCCTAGGCGAGATTTGACACCTTTCGAGGACTTAAGTGTGAACCAAAAAGCAAGTAAACATAAACTATCAAAGATATATTGTATTCTCTGCACGCAAGCTTATTCTGATACGTTTTATGTCGGAAGATGGGAAACAGAATTGGGCTATAGATTATCTTCGTGATGATTGGAAACAATCCTTTGTGTTAACGTTTAAATCAAGTATCTTGAGTTATATTCAGGAACAGAATTTTAAGATATTGACAAGATGGTATAGATATCCCATCTTTATACATAGGATTTTTCCAAACATATCTGACCAATGTTGGAGATGTGGAGTAGAAAAAGGCACAATATTGTACATGTTGTGATCATGTGAAGGAATACAATCTTTCTCGGAACTGGTTCATAAGATAGGACTCCATCGTACCAAGGTTGGTTGATCTTTTACACCTGAGATTGCGCTATTATACCAGGGACAAAGAAGTTAAGAAAGGCCTATTTTGTTTTTTCTTATTTGCTGTGAGACCGGTGGTAGCTCAATATTGGTGGTCCCAAGAGACTCCGCAAATTAGAGAGTGGGTCAAATAAATTAACTTTTTAAGAAAGGTAGAGGAGCAATATGCTCTCACAGAATAGGTACCCATGTGAGAGGGTGTTGAGTTTTTTTTTCTTTCAAGCAGCGACCCTTAGGGCCAGTTCATACCAGACACAATTCTGGCCGGAATGCACTGGATCGCATTGCGGCTGGCTCACTTTGTTGTGGTTCGGGAGGGGGCATGGCGGTGCATTGGAGTGAATGGCACCGCAGCCACACCTTCCGGCCGCAATGCGATCAGCCGCATGGGAACTTGTGGCACATCAATGTCTGCGTTACGGCCTGCGTTTTCTGACCGGACCACAGGCATTGATGTGCCTTGCGTTCCCGTCCGGCCGATCGCATTGCGGCCAGAGGGCGTGGCTACGGTGTCATTGAGTTGAATGGACCGCCACACCCCCTCCCACACCACAACAAGGTGAACCGGCTTCAATGCGATCCAGTGCGTTCCGACCAGAATTGGGCTGGAACACACTGAAGATTATGTGAACTACCCCTCAAAAGGGAAGAATGGTTTTAAATAGCTTTGAAATAGTATGTGGTAATTATGTACAATGAAGGAGTCCATTCTCTTTTTCACAATATGTATTTTTTTTTAACAATTTATTCTCCTTATGAGAGCCCTTGATTTATGTGGTTTGTATGTGTATATTGACGTATGTGTAGTAAAATTAAATTAATAAAAGATATATTATTCAAAAATCTAAGAATAGTATGATGGTTACAATAGAATAGGTTCAGCTGGATGAAGGTTTTATCATTATCATAACCTGTTTTTATCATAACCATAGCTCCATGGCAGTCTCTGAAACACTACAACTAGTCATCCATGGCTAAAATTCAAGTCATTGGAAGCTTGGTCAGCACCTGGTTTGACAAAAGTCGATTTCAAAACCAACTGAGCTGGCTGGAAAATTATTGACCGAACAGTGAATGCAACGTTTTAGATGCAGTCACCGTTTCAGATATTTAGGCATCTGTGGGTTCTGCAGTTGCTTGAATACAATAGCTATCACCTGATACTCCTCCATCCACGCTGTTTATAGGGAAGAGGAAAGCATTTTCTCTCAGGCTTAGAAAACCTTAAAATGCATGGTTAGACTAAGGATAAAAGTATGGGTGTTATTTTACACACACACACATTTTTTGCATTGTGATTGTAGAAGCTGAGATTCAAAACATCAGCTTCCTCAATATTATCCTTTAATTAAGGCAAAGGTGATTCACTTTGTGTCAAGTGACCAAAATGTTAGGGTCTAGCATAATCTTTCTACCTAGACTCAAAACATATCATTTTTAGTTTACGGTCATGAAGGTGCACATATCAAAAGACTGCATACAATGGATGAAACTTCCATTTGAAAAGGTATGAGTAATCAGTGTAGGGGTCACATAACATCATATAAGGAATAGCTGTATAGGAATGATAACTTGCAGTAAAGTCATAACTGTTGTTTTTATGTTCTAGATCATCAAGACAGTATGGCCCGATTCCGATGCTAGCATCGGTATCGGGACATCCCTACAGTAAATGATTACATTAGATAATTTTACAATTAGACAGAGACGATGGTCATAAATTATTTACAGGGATTTTGATATGGTATTTCTCAACATAAAGATATGTTTTGAGCTAATACAAACCTGGTTATGGCTCACAAGAGAGATGAAAATATAAACATTTACGCTGTCAAAATTGCATTAAGGAATGATTACCTTCTCTCCTGGGGTCACGGAAATTCTCCATATGCAGTGAGTGTATGAAGGATAACCATTTGGAAATCCAGGGGATGAGAAATTGCCTGAGGAATCTTGTAATGTTTCTCCACAAGCTGCAAGACATACAGTACAAAGGTGAAAGCAGAACTAGCATGTAGACTGCAGAAATCTTCAAAAAAAGAGTCAGGTCAATTATATCCCTTGTCTGAAAAATAATAATGCATGAACACTTTGATACGATTAATTATTTAGGTATTTCTAGACAAATTTAAGCCATTATTGGGAGCTTATGAAGGGCACCCATCTGACAGAGCTTGGCGCCTGAGAAGCCAGTTGACGTGATAGTTACTTTGCTGTTTAGACATAAACAAATTCACTTTACTAGGTGAGAAATGCTGAAGGATAGGGACAGGTACCTGGAACACAGTATTTACCAAATACAAAAAAAATATATAAACACAGTATAAATGTGAAAAATTAGACTGTAGGTCCACTTTAATGTAAAATAAAAAAAAAATCCAGGGTGTGTGAGCAAGACCCTGTTGGGGCCCTAAAAGTTGTTTTGGCAGCTGAGTGATTTAACCATTCTACTGCTCACCAATATTAGTTTTAGGCAGGCTGACCCTTTAAATGGTTTATCTGAACACATGCCTACACCAAAATTCACAAGAAATAATTCACATAATAGTTTGCATTAATGATCACCGTGCTCTCTTTCACACCCATTACAATTATTACATTAGATACTAGGTTTAAAGTTTTAAGACTTTGGGTACTCAGATTTAAAAGCAAAAAAAACACTGCGACATACAGATGTATGTGAAAACATGAGCTAATTGCCCCAGAAAATGTGAAACAAAACTGTCTGAGCATTTCATCAGTAGTCATTCTTATATCCAACAATAAGAGAATAATTCATTCAACATGAATGTACTGAAGCTGCGTAACAAAAGAACAGATGCTGATTTTAAGCCAATGAATTCCATAGCCAAAATGGCATGTTACATCTCATCTAGAAACCTTGTTCATTAATTTATCATAGTGTGTACACAACAGGAACTTAAGAGCCCTATTTACTTACATGGGTACGATGGTTGCTCACGTATTTATTTTGGAGACGCACCAAAATGGCAGAACTGGAAGGGCTTATATCTCAGTGAATTATAGTGTTTATGGATTTAGATAAAGAAACTCTGCGTGTAAAATCATGCTGCCTTCTTACACTGATAAAGTGGAATAAAAGCCGATAAGTGAAATGCTAGCAAAGGTTACATGATATTAAGGCGTGCTCATTTGGCTGACAGTTCCAAATCTTTTTAGCTTGCTGTCATATTTCCCATTCCTCCACCTCTGAACTTTGGCAGCAAAAAAGAATCAAGCTACTGAAGTATTTTTGCTGAACAATGTATAGTTTATCTTTGCAGTACCTGGACATCTATACAGCTTCCTTGCCTGTGCAATATCTCCTTTACTGAGACGTGTACGTTGACCTATGGGAGGCCTCACACCGTTTTCATCGCGGGATGGAAGAATTGTATCCAGAAACATACCCCTAAAAAATGATACACGCACAAGAATCATCAGTTCCATTACACAAATATCATACAAACTTGGCTTTAAATGTTATATTTGCTTAAAGTTTGCTATGGTGTGTTTGCAACAGACTTTTTTCATTTATATAACATTGAACATAAACCATTCCAGCCAGCTTTAAAGGAGAACTATGAGGCGAGTGAAAATCACTCAGCTTCATAGTTCTAACCGACCTGTGACAATTAAACTGGACTGACTGGAAGAACAGACAGGGGATGGGGTGGGTACAGCTGGCTCTGCCTCTAGATAGGCAGAGCCAGCTGTCACTCACGCAGCTGGGTGGATCCAGACAGTATTGTTGGAATCTGTCCCGGCTGCGGCGTCTCAGTATACAGCGAGCTGTATCTCGCAGTATACTGATCTTTGGGTGACGGGAGGACGCCAGTTTGTGTCCTCCCGTTACCCTCCCGTTAGGAGAACTATGGGGAAAAGCACTGACCCCATAGTTCTCCTTTAAAGCTGTGCAAACATAAAACTCCTGAAAAAAGAAGAATGCATTTACGGAATATGCAAATATTAAATCTTAGCCTCCCCCCACCATTTGAAGTTAAATAAGGTATCAAAAAAATCTTTAGACTGGTCCATTTAGGCCTTGTGGTACCTTTTGTAATTATTGGGTACAGTTTCCCTACTGCAACTTCTCATAAGCTTACAAGTGGCTCAGACCAGTTGGTGGAAGAAGAGGACAAAAATAATGTGAAGGAAAAAGCATTTTTTTTTTATTCTGTACAGAATTTAATGCTAACAGACAGAAGATTAAGGAACCAAAGCAGCAGTCATGTTTCAGATCCAGAAACATCCATGTTTCAGGCCGAGGAGTACCCCCGTGGTTACACAAAAGCTTGAAGTAGAATAAGTATCCAAAAAATGCCAAGTGCAGTCACATAAATGTGTTAAAGTGCAGTTCAACTTTTATAGTCATGTCCCACAGGAACTGCTTTACGAAAACTGAACAAACAAAAAAGCTGAAGTGCTTCTTAAAGTAATATAGATATAAACTTACATTTTTAAATCTACACTAAAACAATTAGAGGTTGAATCTGATAAGCAGCTATAAGAATTTAAAAGCATTTATAAAAATGCAAATGTTATTGCATATTAATAGTTAATGGACCCGTAGACATTTTTAAAAAGCAACTCAAGACTTTAAGTTTAAACAGAATACTGGAGGAAGAAAGAAGAGGGGAGATCGCTATGTAAACTACACTTGCCTTCATGTGTCAATAACCTGAAACACAGCTGTCCAAGTTTCTATGCTTATAATGATTCAGCATGCTCAGCAAGGCACTTGTAAACACTTATAAAAGATTATTCCTGAATAGTCTAAATTTGTCTCAATTCAATACATTGCAACAAGCATATCATTATTTTTCTGCATAGTATTAGATCATCTATTTTACAGTATAGTGCCTACACTTTGGTCACATGGTCTCTAGATGTAACATTATTATAGCGAAGGAGATTTCTAAAGTATGGTCTTGATTTTGTGTGTTTTGCAGACATTCCTTTTTTGGATGAAGTCCTCAGTAAAAGGTTACAGCTACAGCAGTGTCAGAAACCTGTAGGAAGACATATGTAGGCTGCCACTGATGACCTTTCTTGAAACTGCTGGTTGCCTAGCCGTGCCTGGCTCCAGTACTGCCTGGCTCACTCACTTGGACAAGCATGCAGCAAAATTATGTTGTTGTTGGTTAGGGGCTTAAAGTGTAAGGCCTTGTTCACACCAAGCGCGGAGCAGATGCAGAGCAGATCAGTTGCAGACCGGATAAAAACTGCGTCCAATGTATTCCAATGGTATTTTTTGCTCCAGTTCACATCGCAGCGTGCAGTTCCAGAGCAGGTGAAAAAACTGCAGCAGGCCCTATTTTACCTGCTCTGGATCTGCATGCAAACGCATCAAAAACTCATGCAAATGCCCAAACGCACTGAAAGCCCATTTTAAACTTTTAAAAAACTTTTTTTAGGTGTCAAAAACGCATCTAAAAGACTAGCGTGCGTGCGCAGAAACCTGACCGGATCTGCTCTGCATTTGGTGTGAACAAGGCCTTAAAGTCACTGGACCAGCAAGGCAGCTGCCACTTTCAGAAAGAAATGTCAGCAATGGCAGCCTCCATCTCTCTCAGCAGGTTTCCTTTAAGGGTAAATTTGCTCTAAAACAGCCAAACACGGTCAATAGTCAGTCCAAGTATAAGCAATAAGCACCATCAGCTTCTGAAATTGATGACTCCAGAATGTATGTTTAAATAGATATAATCCTTATTTCAATTTAAAATAATAACTGATTAGCCCTTTAATACTTCACAATTGTATACTAAATGACGCACTATAAATATGGAGATATCAATTACTTCTGGATAAAGCATCTACACCTTGGACAGTGCATAGTTACTAAAAAGTTGACAGATAGAGTTTTGGGTGAGCACTTATTATAAGAGGACACTGGAAGAGACTGTGCAAAATCCTAATACTGATATGACCATTGAACAATCTTCAATCCTGGCCAATCATTATCCACGTAGATTTCTCTCAGTAAAAATCAGCACATTCTGATTTTTCTCTTAAGATATTCTGCAAGTGTGTGGGCAACACAAGTTTTAAATAATGATCACATTCAGTAATAACCTCCTGAGGTGACCTTTTTTTGTAACCAATATTTATATGCAAATTTACAATACTTAAGCTACATATAAACAGATATATCACATATAAAATCATTTACATTTTTGGGGTTGCTAAGCAGCGGCCTACTTGCTGTCTACTGCAGATGAACAGCATGTCAACAATCCAAGAAAACAAACCTTAACATTTGATTTTGAGGATTTTGATAAGCCCACTTTAGACAAGAATTAAAAATGAAGCATATCCATGATACACATGCAAATATCTGTACTGAAATGCAGGAAAAACTGTTATGCTGGCTATTGGTGCAAATATTTAGTTTTACAGTAGATAATTACACATGCAAAGGAAGAAAAAAAATACTTTAAAACACAGCACTTGAAACACCTGAAGCCATTGAAGTAATTTGTGTGAATGAATCACTGAAATTACTGGTTTCAATGTTCAGGCATAAATGTAGAAAAATAGATCAGGAATTTGCCACTGTTTTTGATAAAAACTACATATCTTAATTTGCAATGTGCCATGGTACCCAGCAAATTATAGTTCATTATTAAATATGAAAAAGGGAATTAAAAGACAAAAATTATAACCTGAGGTTCCAACCTTGAGAAGGTGTTCCTTGCATAGTGCATGATGCTGTCAAAATCATATGGCTCTCCCTGTGAGTTCACCTCCCCGGGTTCCATTTTCAGAAAGTTGTATTCCTGACCTAGAAGTTGGACAAGTTTAGCAAGTAAACAATATATTACATGACTAAAAGTAAACTTTATTGACCTAAGCAAGTATATTATTGATGTTAACTCTAAATGTAAACACATAGGTTATTGACATGGTTATATAGCAAATTCACACAAAATTGGCAATTTCAATTGTTGTGTACGTAGGCAGGTTTAATGCAAGCGGTCTTCTTGAGGTTTCCAAAAAGTGTTCAACCTCAAAGCCAGCTAGTATGTCATGATGGTGACAGCCCTCGTCTGTTTTTTTTGCAAGGCTGTGGTGTCACCCGTTTCTTGCTCCTTCCTTTGCAGGACTATACAGAAGACGCAGATGTGGGAGTACAGCTGGGAGCCAGAGTCCAACAAACTAATAATCATGTGTTAAGCAATATTAGTAGGATCAAAACAAATTACTTAGTGGACTCCCATATCATGTCCGCACAATAAGGTAGAACATTACAAGTGGACAATCAGTAACTTTACATCTCTATTAGTACATTTCTGACACGTCACAACATACAGCAACAGTATCATTTTCTAGAAATGTCCTAGACTGCAATGTCATCAGTCTGCTGCAGGCAAGAGAAAGCGTTTCCTCTGCCTGCCCTTCCCTAGTGTTCAGACTGTTCTGTAGCAAGGCGAGGGGCTGCAGTAAGGTCTAATCTGTGTCAGACATTTGTAAGCAAAGCCAAGAATGACACAGGCTGCAGACATGACATGATTGTGTGTGATCAGCCTGCATTTTAGTCCAGGAAATAGATGATGCCCTAGAATTCGGAGACAATTATTCCTAAATAAATCTCCTAAAATTGATTACCTGGATGATGCCTGAACAAAAGATGGTGCTCCCATTTTGGACAAAAAAGCAGATGAATGCATTGTCAAGGGAGCAATGTGATCTCTGTAAGAGGTAATAAATGCCAGTGTTGCACTTACACATTGCATATCACACATCTGAGGCTAGGTCGACTTTAACATTTAAAAAAATATTTAAAAAATGTGTTTGCTCCTTTAACAACCTTGTTTTTTCTAAACAAAAAATGTCATGACCTTATGACGGGATAATCCTGTCATGAAGTCGGAAGGGGTTACACAGAAGCCGCCGGGAGTCTGTTCCGTTTTGTCGAGCTGGTGACCGGCTTTACAGTAGAAGCAATTCTGCCGCCAGATCACTTCTACAATCCGGCTGGGGATGAGAGCGGCGAACATCTGCGTGCGATCCCCTCCCGTACTATGGGACCGGGAGTGACGCGCATTGCATCACTTCCGGTCTTGAAGCCCAGCAATAAGCCATTGAAGTGCGATCTGCACTTAAATAGCTTATTTAGAGTGTGAAGGGGTCTTTTGGACCCCCAGCATCACCTTAAAGTGTACCGGTCACTGCCATTATGCTATCACATGGGGGGTTTGTAAGCCCCCCCTATGTAATAGCAATTAAAGTAAAGTTAAAAAGAATAAACTAAATGTAAAAATAAAAAAAATTTTAAGTCCCCCACCACTGCGTCATCATGTAAACACGTGTCGGGTGCACCTACGTATGAATACTGAATTCTGTCACAGTTTCACAGGCACACTTTTTAACCGGGGCATGTTGGGTATCTAGGTACTCGTTAACCTCATCTTTTATATTTTACCAATCTAACTTAAGTGCATTTTTCACGAAAGGTTTGGGTATGATAATAAGTTGCGCTAATGTCGTGCAAGATAAAAATTTGCAACTGCCACCATGTTATTCTATTGGGTCTTGGCTGTCAGAAAATATATAATGTTTGGGGGTTTTGAGTAATTTTCAGTTAAAGTGCCATTTGTTACTAATAATATACTTATAAAACCAAGAAAAATTTTACCTGGTTGTATGTTTTCCCTGATAATTGTCACATGATCGTCTCGATCCGGTCGAGTGTGCTCATGCCAAAAGCCTATCACATGACCAAGCTCATGGACCACAATTCCAAATTTATCACAGTTTTTGCCAATTGATATTGCCTGGGGGCCATTTCCTCTTCGTCCCACATAGGAGCAGCACCTGTTGAATAAATGAAAAAACAGCTATGACACTTAGGGACAGTCACACTTAATTATTAACCTCTTTACAGGCATTTCAAACAGTAAAGGAGTTAAGTGTATTAATAGACTAAACACTTGAATCATTTATTATATGTCACATCTGTTACACTCACAGATTTCCATCGTATCATAGCAACAACCATTCTGAGAACACTGCACAATGTATTGATTTTTACTAAAAATACGGGTTAGCCTAGTGATATCTTATTTATCTTTAGCGCAACTGTTTAATTATATCCTTGGCAGCTTTCATGTCTAACGTTTTTATTTCACATCAAGATTAGTTCAACATAGATGTTATATTTTCTAACATGCTTTTCTGTGCGTTTAATTTGTGATCCATGATGAAATAAGTCCATCAAACGTCACAAAATTAGGACATAAAGGAAATGACCTGAAGTAATATACTCAGACAATTTGATATTTCAGTTGGATTTCTAGGTTTATCTGGGCTTGAGCCATCACATACCTAAAGCAGGCCACTTTTTGGGCCCTTCAGCACTGTTTGAGCTCAGCTCCACCCGGCCCAACAATAGTCAAGGTAAAAATCAACTAAGCATGGTGGAAAATTATCAGCCACTGACTGCATTTTTTCAGAGGCAGTCGCTGTTCAGGTATTTAGGCAGCCGCAGCAATAGCTGGCAATGGAGAATCTATTGATTTATTTTTTTCAGCCCACAAGAAAAATGTATGGCTAGCATTAGGCCATATTCACACTATTGCATGCATATCAAAATGTGTTGCATGTAAAGTAGAACCACACACTTTGAAGGTTGTGGTTTTCTCCAAATAATTTTAATGGGACGCAATGCACCAGAACTGTGTCAGCACACCAACAAACGTGTCAAGACAAATGTTTCACTAGAACACTAGTGCTTCGAAAGATTAGCAGGAACAATTAGTTTTACCCATTAGTTATCTTCCACACCAATGAAAACCTATTTATATGAGATAATCCTATGCCCAAATATTTACAAGGGGTAAGGCAAGGTTAGTGCATGCAAATGGAGATTATATCTTTGAACGTCTAGGGTGAGATTTACAGCCCAGGCTCTTAAAGATACATTGTAATGCATATTGTTACAGTAATGGAATTTACCGATAAAGATCAAGTACACTTTCATTCACATGTCCATTCATTTAAGGGGGAGGAAATGGTGCTCTAAAGTACCATGCCCCACCATACTAAAAAGGCAAAGATTGCAATTAAATTGCCTTTTTATGTACCAGGTTTGGGAATTTAGTTTTGTTGTCGTGGCTGTATTAAAAAATGCCATCATTCAGATTCACATAAGTTCTGATGTTTTTGTCGTGGGGCTGTGATAGGAAACAATCCCATTTTTACACTTGTATTTTACAGGCATGCATGTGCAGAAGCATGAAGATAGTGTTACTCTTCACTTTTCTACTACTTCTCTCTACTAGAGAAGGTTCCAGAGTGTTTGCTTCTTTTACCACATCCTGTAATAAACCCCAATTGTTATTTAATTCTGGAGTAAAATGCAGATATTGACTAAGCTATGCCAGGATAACTTAAAGGGAAACAGTCCTTTTAAAAACACATTAACCTTCTTAATATACCCAGAGACAAGTAACTCAGATGCTCAAATACATTACCTGAGTTTAAATCCACATCTTAGCACTGGTGCCCACAAATACATAAAAGTCTGACAAGTTAGCAAAGCAGTATGCTTACCCACAAGGCCTATATGTAAACACAATGTAGCTCTCTTCATCAGTGCGCTCTATAAATGTCACACAGGTGTGTTTCTCCCAGTGTCTCATGGCCTGCTTGAACATAGCCCTCTGGCTGCCTAGAGGAAATGCACAGAGGAAAAAAATGCAACAATTTTAAATATGTTGGGCAGCACAAGGTTAAAAATTGTATTCAGCAGCAAATGGCACCATAACCATCTTAATATATTTACATAATTGTTTTTATCAATCATTTCTTCTCTCCTTTTTTCTCCACATCTGTTTAGGGCCTAGAATTATGTCACTTAACTGTCATCATCACCATTGTGGATTACCATGTAGTTTAATGTTCACCACGTGTTTAAAGAGCCTGAAATCAGTCTAGGATTAATGAGACCAGAATAGAATTCCTAATCTTCAATGTAGCCACAGGCAAAAATCTCCTATATCATATACCTGGAATCTTTTTGAAACTTGAAAGGGAAAGAAATGGTGATTATATGATAAGTAACCCCAAAATAATTCTAATGTATGCTTAGAAAAAGTAACATTTACAGTTTAAGGAAGAAGTTAAAATGCTTACAATTACAACATAATAAAAGACAGTCCAAATACAATGATATGCATCCATATATAAGCAACACTGAGCTATTGGTAAAGGTCAAGGTGAGCATATTATTACATATATATCAAGAGTGTGGTTAAAATTGTGACAAAGATAGATGAAAAAAATCTGTAGATGCAAATTTTAAATACAAAAAAAAAATATTGAAGTGTTCTTATCATATCTGTACATGTTCTAGTTTTGCTGACCTCGTAAGTGCATCTTTTTATTTTAATTTCTTGGTATACACATTACCAAATAGTAAACTATTATATGCTTCTCCTGTGTATATTATTTGCAATGTATGCAGTCCTGTAATGGGCATTTGACAGTGAATATTGTTACCCATCTAGATGCCCAGGTTATGTATCTAAAAAAGCAACATTAACAACTTGTAAAGAAGCCTGTTAACAACCAAACAGGCACTGCCCAAGGACAGTGAAAAGGTAGGGGAGATGGACACGTTCACATTTCAGAGTAAAATAGTTGAATTACAGTAGCAAGAAAAGGAAAGGAGTCAAAATGCCAGTAAGTCTTGCACTGGCCCAACTTGTTAATTATGCCTGTTCTGCTGATTTTGGTAATATGAATGCTCTGATGAATTTGGTAAAATAGTTTAAGGGGTGGTAGTTTAACCACATAATATGTCCCTTTGCAACCAAAAGAATTATTTCTACAGTAGGATGGGACTAGGAATTGTGAATAGTGAAAGCCAAACAAGTCTTAGATTTAGGGGACTTGTCCCAAAAATGGCTGCTTTTAACATTCTGAGCATCAGATAGGCAAATTGTTGGAGACCTCTGGAAGGCCCAGGTGTTAGGGTACATATTGCCACCAATGACAACATTAGTGGAAGATGAAAAGTTCTAAAAATCTTAAGAGGATTAGTAGATATACTATTAAGGATCTCCAAGATTTCAGAAAAATTGCCAGTGCCATGCCAAAAAGACAGTAGTAGCTTTTTGAATTAAATAACCACCTGAGAACTTAGTGCTGATATTATAGTAAGCTACAGAATCTATGTTAGGGTCAAGTGGCACCTTGGGGTACGGTGTGCCGTGGGAAAGAATGATGTGAATGCTGGAGAGTTTAAAATAGAATCTGGGATACTATAGCAAAAGCTTATGGGGAAATAGTGGGTGTAGCAGAATGAGTAAAGATGTAATTAAAACTACATATGCTGACAAAATGTAAGAAATCTTCTAACAAATTGCTTTTGACAAACAAGGATTATGATATATTAGATATAACAAAAAAACTGGATCAATAAGTCATCAATGGATAATATATTTAAAAAAGCTATACTTAAAAAGGATAGAAAATGCTTAAAGTGACCGGGTTTTATGGTTTAAAACCAGTTTTGAACAAAGATATCAATCATGACTGACATGAATGTTGAATCTATACATGTAAATATGCACAGAGAAATAAATAATTCTAATCACGTACCAATTAAGATAAGCCACCTTAATTGAAAGACACAGCTCAAAGTTCAAAGGTTGTTAAACATGGAAAAGCTCCAAGCAGAATTGGGGTCCTCATTATGGGAACCTTTTAGTCATCTATATTAGTTCACTTTAAAATGGATCAAGTTGCTAGATATAGTACATAACGCAGACCATAGTCTTTATAAGACAATTAGCTTGCACAAAAAGGCTGAAACAATTAGAACAGAACGTCTGCTAGATTTGGTCTAGACCATATATTTTATCAAATGAGCAGGAAGCATTCGGGAAACACTGAACACAAACTGGTAGTAGTATTATAAATAATAAAAAATGAGCAAGGAGGCTATGAAAAGCACAAAGAATGTAGCTGTATCAAAGCACATATCAGTGCACTACTAACTATAACAGTTGAGTAGTATGGAGTGCACCTCTTAAAAGCTAGCGCAGGGGATGACTTCCAACTGTAAAACATTTATTCTGGCCATTCCTGTCCCCCACCGTACCCCCCGTATCACCCTCCTTACATGAAGCCAAAATTGTAGTAATCCTTAAGACAAGTAGCCTACTATTCTTACTTATCTTAATGTCCAGTTGCACAGTGGGATTATTGATTAACAGTAAGCCAAGCAACAGTAGCAGCAAACAAAATATTGGGATACATAAAACGGCCAATAAAATGTAAGGCAAGTGCCAAAGGACAAATTTTAGAGACAAATCTTAAAAATAAAGAATAGTTTTGGGTGCCTTATTGTTAGGAGGACATTGACCGATTTGTAGAAGGTCCAAAGAAAAGCAACTAGTTTAGTTGAAAAATATTTTGAGGTGATTAAAAAAATATGTATTTCAATATCCAAAGTCATTACAAACATGGCAGAACGTTATCCCAGGGACAGTCAGTGGTATCTGGAAGAGGAGATTTGACCAAAGAGGTTATTTATGACAACTGTGTTAAAGCTATTTAGCTACATGAGGTAGTAAAAGAATTTAAAGCAAGTTTGGATGATTCTTTTTCATGACTAGTAGTTTTTAAATTTATAACTACTATGGACAGTATGGTAATACTTTGATCCAGGACATTTATCCATCTGCTTGGTGTAGTCACTGCTTTGTGGATGACTGTTTTCCATCTAAAAGGGTAAAATTGTGCATTATTGCCCAGTGGGTTTTCCTTTGCGTTTCTCTGAACAAACAAGTACGGTACCTAGGTTTGCGAGGCAATTGAATTTGATGGTCAATTGTCTGTTTATTGAGCCTGTGCAACTCTTCTCAAACACACTAAAAACACATTTATACACAGTGGGTTTTGCATATACATCAAAACAACAACATTTCCTTGGCAGTGATGTTGCGTAGGCAGTCAAAATGGTTTCAGTGACATGTAGAGGCAGTTTTCTGGCTTCAACTAATATTTATGAAACAGCAACAACTACGCACAGGACCATTCTACACTTGGGTCAGTGTAAATCATCTCTTAAATGCACCCCCTCCTCCAACTACAATGGACAGCATATACCAAGGTTATTAATTATCCCCTGCTCTGTTTCTTTGGGCACTAGAGAAATAGATGTATGATCTGTAACCTGGTGCTATTGCTCTAGACTCTTTTCTGGCAGACGAATCTAAGACCTCATGGGCTGGCCTTAGTGTCAGATTGGTGAAACTCATTGCTGAAGTTAGGTGATGGCACACACACGAATACATGTGGGCATCAGTGTTTTATGCTATGAATTCTGTTTAAATACAGGATCTAAAGTAAAGTGCAATTATAAATGTCACCAAAAAAAAGCCAAATTTCAGCCTGTGCATATAATTCCTGAGTGGTAATAGTGGAATGCATCTTACCAGTGAAGTTGCCTCCGATAACATATGGAATGACTCCCCCAGGCCATATTCTTTCAGTCCGTGATGTAGCAGCTCTGGGAATTCGTCTCTTCTCATTTCTCCCTGAGGGTTTTAGATCTGTATTTTCCCTGGTTGCATTTGTATGCTCATAACCTACATTAAAAGGGAAAGCACCATTATTTATATTGTCATGGGTCAAAAGCGTGATAGTGCATTGCACTATTTATGCAGCTTTAAAAATGCCATTGCAGTGCTCTAAAGGCTTATATAAATAGTTGGAATACCAGAGCCAAATCTTCTTATCCTCTCTATAAGCTGATAGAGTGTTCCTCTTTTTTTTGACAGATCATGCTCTTCAAGGCCACCTTGAAAATGGAATAAAGAAAATCATGAGTGTTGTCACTGCCAGGTCAAGTACAGGATTATAAACAATGTGACCAATTTACAAGGAAGTAAGTTTACATCTGACTTTGGAAAGCACATTCAACTAAAATCATTTTAATCTAAATTCCAGGGCCTACGCCAAGATCTTTTTTTTTTTCTCTTCAAACAAGTCATGACAATGACATCACCAAATTATTATCTAAAGCGTTTCTGCTCCGGGTGACCTTCACATCTTTTGTGCCATATTGATTGGCAGTCAGATGCTTTTCTTTCATCTAGATTGGATACCGCTGACTGGTTTCATCTTCTGGTAATGAATTTTTCCCAACTAGAAGCAATTATACATTCTAAAAAAAGATCACCCAAAAAAGCAGCGTAGTAACATTTTTTTTTAAACCTTTATTGGGTTTGAAATGGATCTGAAAAACCACATCCTTTAATCACACTAGAACAGCACAGCTATCAAGCACTGGTGGGTTGTAATAAGATCTCAGAGACTCTCCTGTGTAGCTTTATAATCAATAGCTCAGAGCCTCAGATACAAGCTGAAAAGGGCTAATGACCAAAGGGGGTGGGAAAAATAGAGAGAGTAAAATGTTTACTGTACAGGTGCAATAAATCAAAAGCCTTGTTCTAAGAAAATGGGTCATAATAAACATCCAAGGCATTTAGTGCACTGTTATCTCTTTACCCTGCCGTAAGCCTCGGGACAATAGCTATAAAATATCAGGCTCTGTTCATTATTGTAGAATATGTCAGAAGTTGTGGGTAGTTTTTTTACATTTTGGAGACCTTTCATGCAGCTCTCAGCCTCTCCAAAAGCAGCACAATGAACAAAAAAAAAAACTAACATACTGACATTTCGTTAACAGTGGTAAACAGTGATAAAATGGAGCAATACTTAGTAAAATATGGCATATGTTTACAATGCATTGCTATCTACCTGTAAAGAAATTGGTAAGGAAAGAACAACCTTTACAGGCAATATTATACATTTGCCATGTATCATAAGAAGGTTCCTTTTTCACCCAACTGCCACCTGTCTCAGTGTGTAAACTTCATTAGGATTGTTTGAACATTCATCATTATAAATGTTTGTTTTTCTGCATGCCAAAATGAATGCAGGCTTTAGTGTTAAGATGCATTTTATCCATTTGTACAGACCTCTTTCCATCCACTAAAATGGTACTACTGTGTTGATGTAGAAGGGTTACATTTGAATCTGGTTAATGATCCAAATGTGCATTTGCGTGCATGACATCAAATAGAATTAAGGAGGGCAAACACAATGAGGCTGATTTACTTAATTGAGTTGAGAATCTTCACACAATAAATTGTGTAAATATTCACTTCAATTATGCAATCATGTGCAGATGGAATAAGCAAACAGGAGTTTATGTGAATATTCTCAACTACTTTAGTTTATCAGCTACTCAAGTAGGCTTAGCAAACTGGTGCAAAGAATAATCATATAGCCCCTGGCCTGATTTGGATTGAGCTATAGAAAAAGGATACTAACATCCAAGCTGGGCAATCAATCCACGCCCTACAGCCACATGCGTAAGTGACATCCTGTGCTGTCCACAGAGTAACAACTTGTGGTAGCACCAACAACTAATTTTTGCCTCTTTTAAAAATTAAAAAGGGGAGCAGTATGCAGGCCATATTACGTCCCAAGATTACTGCATTATATGCAGTATGAGAGAAGTCTGACAAAGACTGCATTTCTACCCAGCGATAGTTTGTAAAATGGAAATATTGGCCTTAGCTTAGAGTGGCAAGATAATTTTAAGGGACAGCAGGTCTCCTGTTGTTTCAGAGTTACATAGTTACATAGTATTTGAGGCTGAATAAAGACACAAGTCCATCAAGTCCAACCTATTGCGTGTATGCATTTATGTTTGAGCTGGTGTGTGCGTGTGTATGAGTCCATGTGTAATTTTGCTCTTAGGAGTACCTGTACCCCTGTATGTTACGGTCCCCGAGGAACTCGCCCAATAGTTTCTTGAATGATTCCACACTCTTAGCTGAAATCACCTCCTGCAGCAGTGAGTTCCAGACCTTAACCGCTCTAAACTGTGAAGAACCCCCTGCGCCCCGTGTTCTGACATTTTTTTTCCACTCATTTTTGGTGGTGTTCTCTGGTCTTTGTTACCAAGTTAACCCTTAAAGAGTTTGTTAGTAATGTTGTTGTCGCCACTGAACAGTTTATGCAAGAAAATTAATCTTCATTTCTTTCTTATGCACATTTTCCTTCAGAAAAATACGAGCTACGAACAGGCAAGGGCCAGGGAAGCTGGTGGAAGGGGGTCCAAACCCTCCATCCAGAGCATCCCTGGTGCAGCAACAGATCCTCCACAACTGAAGGAGGCTGTAGGAGGATCTGGATTCAGGATCACACAGGTGATCTTGTGCAAATTATGCTAGAGCAACTACTTGTGCCCTTCTATTTTGCAGCGCACACCATCACCCTGAGACTTCTGCTGGTTGTACAACAGGATAAAGTTGGAGGGGAGGGGCCAGGCAGGGTGTCAGAGTGGAAAACATGAGATATGAGCACTGTTGAGCAGGTGAGAGTAGGGGTGTGCATACAGCTGTGCAATGTGCTGTCATTACTGGCTCAGTCTCACTGAAGGAGTTACTGCAAGTGAGCGGGGCTGGTTTGTCACATCAGTGAACTTGAACTTATTGCTGCTCAGCACTGAAGGTATCCTAAGCAGTGCTTTCAGAAGAGAGGAGAATGAGAGTGCATTATCATGTTTTTATTTACATGAATAATTATATGAATGACATCATAGTCAAGAAGGCAATTGTTGCATGATATTACTTGCAGTTTGATTGTGAGTCCTGATGCCAGGCTATTGATCAGAAAGACTACAAATTTATTTATTTTTTTTATTGCTGATTTATTTTGGCCCTTGCTAAGCAAAGATAACCAGTGCTTTGTGTACCTTTCTATGGGGATCTTACCAAACATAAGTTGTTCTGTATATGCTTGTGTCAGAGGTTAAAACAATCTGTGTCTGGGAATATATTCCACTTTAACCGTGTACTAGCAATGTGCAATAATGGAATAGGAAGGAGCAGATGTAGGTGCAGAATGTCAGCTTCTGAAAGTGTATTTTATTTGCATTCAGAAGGTGGTGTAAATACGCAGGCACTGCTGCGTAAGCCAAACTTCCACTGTTAGCAAAATTCTAACACATCCACAATGTGCCGCAGCACACTGCAAGCACTACCTCATTCTTATCCTCTGGGTGCCCCTGGTCTTTCTGGCTGACTTTTTGAGAGAGCTATATTCCCCCCATAAATGGAAAGTATAAAAAAAATAATCTACTCTCCTGACCACAAGCACAACATATTTACTATTATCATTTGCTTTCATGTAAAGAATGGCACAGCCCCAAAGACACTCATCATGGACAGAAAATTAAAAGCGGCCCGGTTGCATAAATTTGCAACCTGGCCCTGACTCCTAGGGTAATAAGTAGAGTACGAGTAGAGCAAGGGAGCAGGAGTCTTTGAAAAACACAGTTACTGCAATTATTTTCTTCCAAATCATGACACAAAACAGGTGACATTAACTAAATGAATATGAAATCTTTGTGTCACTGTTTCAACAAAATATGCCAGTTTTAAAAGGTAATAAGGAAAATCAGTAAGGTGTTCCAATACTTAAGGATATTTCTCCATGCCAAGAGAGTAAAGAATGACCTTTTACAATTCAAGAGGACAACATGCTTAAACTCTTCACTGGGCACAATGGAACCTAAGGCCAAACCCAGATGCTTTGTAACCAACAGATATGAAATAGTTTGAACCAACTATAGGAAGATGATCTTATATTTTTGTTTTCTTAAATAGAAAGGTACAGAGGATGATTGCTGAGCTTTTTTTTTACCATATACTAATCAGGGCCGGCGCTACCACATAGGCAACACAAGCGGCCGCTTGAGGGCGCTGGTGGGGGAGGGCGTAAAAACAGAGCCTCCCTCCCATACACAGGAGCAGCACAATCGAAATGGCACACTTCATTTAGCCTTGCTTTGTCAAAGCAGGGCTAAATGTAGAAAATAACTTACCACCAGGCGCCCGGAACTTTATGTCCTGGGCGTCGGGGGGATTCAACATTGCTGCCGCCACTCTGCTCCTTGCCGCCCCGGGCCTGTGTATGGTGTATATCTTCGTTACATTGGCAGTCATTGTGAATACTTTTGTTACATTAGCGGTCAGTGTGAAAACTAATTGGTTTGACCTGCAATATAGATATCGCAGATCTCCTATTAGTTTTGGATGGTGCCCGGGGGGGGGGGGGGGGGTTTTTTTGGGGGGGGGGGGGGGGGGGGTGCAGAAAAATGTACCTTCGTCTGTGTTGGCAAAAATCCTTGCACCGGCCCTGATACTAATCAATCTTTTTTACTTATTTCAGTTACTTGTGTACAGGTAAATATGTACTTTTGCTGCCCTGAGACAGAAATGTACATCTGCATCCCATAAAACAGAGCACTGTTGTCCACAAATTTGAACAGTTTTTCTCCTACATTCAGCAATGTCTCTCCAAGGCAGACTATTTCTGTTGCTTGAATATGATGTACATCCTGTACATCACTATAATTGAGTGACTACAACCCAGCACAGGTTGCAAGGAAAGTACAGCAAAACAGGTAATCTAGCTGTCTGCTTAATATTTCTCTCACTTAAACTCATTAACTAGAATTCCACAAAATAAATTTAGATCAAGTTTATTTTATAAATTAAGTCACACATTTTCTCACCCTCGCAAATAGGATTCCTAAAACTTATTTTTATACCTTTTATGGGTGCTGTTTTCATTGCAAATATTTCAGGCCAATCACTGCTCCACAGTGTTTTGCAGCAATGAAATGTGAAACCTGTGAATTAATGTCTCGCCTGTCAATCAATCTAATAGAGATAATTCAATGGAATAACAGCCTAAAACGTTGTTCATTTTGGGAAAGTA